CCCCCCTCCCCCCCCCACGCCGCCCTTCCCCACCCCACCCACCTACACCCACACCCCACACCCCACACCCACACTCCACACCCCTTTTTGTAGGGATGATGATTATCATGGATTTACTAGTCGTACATACACAAATGTATATTTGCTTACAATTGCGAGCTTTGTCCACTGTACTAACCAGCAAAATATGGAGGATATGTCTAGTCGCACGCGAGCGAAATATTGCAGACGGTGCGCTTCGGCGAGACAACTATTCAAGAAAGACAATTTATTTTCTCGGTTACAAAAAATGTTACATTTTCTTTTTTACATTTTCGATGTTTTTTTTCGACCGTGCAATATGTGGATGATCAGGAGGAAGCGATTTTTGTCGTATCTCGAGGCCTTTTTGCAGACATGAAAGTGCCTTCGAGTACTCGCTCATGTTATAATACACTAAGCCGATGTTGTTGTAGGAAGTAGCCACGTCGGGATGATTCGGAGGGAGAGCTATTTTTCGGATGTCAAGTGATATTTCATATGCTGAAAGCGCTTTCGAGCACTCGCCCATTTTATCATACACCATACCGATGTTGTTGTAGGAAGCAGCTAACGAGGGATGCTTCGGAGGGAGAGCTATGTTTTGGATTTCAATTGACCGTTCGTACGATGAAAGTGCTTTCGAGTACTCGCGCATTTTATCATAAACCAAACCGATGTTGTTGTAGGACGTAGCCAAACCGGGATGATTTGGAGAGAGGGCTACTTTTTTTATTTCAAGGGATCGTTCGTAAGATAAAAGTGCTTTCGAGTACTCGCCCATGTTATCATGCACCGCACCGATGTTGTTGTAGGAAGCAGCCAAATCGGGATGATTCGGAGGGAGAGCTGTTTTTCGGATTTCAAGCGACCGTTCGTACGATAAAAGTGCTTCTGAGTATTTGCCCGTGTTTCTATACACTTGACCAAGTTGGTCATTGTAATCCGCTCTATCTTTATTAGAAGATGCTGTTGCGAGGAGGAACTGATAGATTTGTTCTGCTTTCGCAAACTCGCCCACATTTTTAAGTATATGACCCAATCGCGGCCATCCTGTTGCCCAACTAAGCTCTTTGCGTATGCGTGATGTAAGTTTGTCTAATTCATGATTATTATTATTCACAAGAGTAAGATTAACTTGCCAAAGGGTATCACATTGATCATCATGGATCCGTTGAATTTGATCGATGCAATAAATGGTGTGTGTTGTAAAAAGAATTTCGGCTTCATGAGCTTCGAAGTAGCCTTCTTCGCTGACATCAACATAAGGAATTGATGACTTTGAAGATATGACTGGGTTGATAGCCATTATGAAGAGAATGCCAACCATATTGGAATCTTTCAGTGCTCCTGCTAGCGCAAATTTAAGGGACACCTGGCGATTCTTACTCGTTGAAAGAAAATTGTTGAAGGACATAAGTCCTCCTTTGGTTTGATTCATTTTTTCGAAAACTTCAACTGACATACCTTGTCCACGAAAAACAGTAAATGGTGTTATGACGTTTTTCTTGGATTGTTGTTGTTCGTGGTGTAATTTTTCGATACGATGATGTAAATGTCGAATAAAAAAGCCCATTTTGAGTATAATATCAACATCCATTAGTCGAAGGCCTCGATTGAGCACCGAGTACATAAAAATTGGTGCCGTATACCACCATATCGGTGTATGGTCACGATATTCTTTTTCAACCATGTTAATTTCGCATTTATCAATATCATCTTGAAGACGACAGTATTCAACCAGTTCTTTAATCGATTTTGCATCATCATCTTCTATATCCAAAAGTGCTTCTTTTAACAATTGGGTATACATAAACAACGCATCAATGCCATCAAAACTGATTGAGATCATAGCTCGATCACAATTTTCACGATCGATTTGTAATGCTTCACAAATTGGTTCGATGCTTGTGTGTACACCCTTTACCTTGGCTATATTTCTAGTCCATTGTTCATGGATCGATTGATTGGCACAAAACACGTAAATTGATTCTAACTGTGGCCATACTTCAATTTCTGGTACGATTTGCCGACCCAAGGAACCAGAAACAATCATAAATACCTTTTCTTTTTTGATTGCACTGAGAAAATCAATGCATTCGTGGGTATTCGTAAATGTTGTGATGGATGCCACAATATGTCGTAATTGTTGTAATGATTTCTTGAAATCTTTATTTGATTCATTGAGATTGGCATCAAGCCAAACTAGAAGAAAATTTTGAAGTACCCGACGCGCAGGTTGGGGCAGAACAGCAGCAATACAGTTGTTGTTGGTGGTGGCCATCGTTACTGTCCCATTAGCGGCAGTATTTGTCGGTTTTTGTTTGTCCATGATGAATTGATAAATCAATGCAATAGGTAAGACGTCGTTACCCTATATATAGGATTGTCCGAAAACTCCGTGCAACTCGTATTTTATGAAACCGTACGATAACATGTGCTGCATTTATTCAATGTTTATCATTGCACAAGCAGTTTGCGTAA